CTCCCGATTTCGGCTCCGACTTCTCAATGGAGGTCTACCAGGCTGCCGAGTTCCGCCGATTCGACTTTTCCCGACTCGGCTGCCCATTTCCGCCGATCCGATTCATTTCGATCGCCGATCCGACGTGTCGAGTCGATTATGGGCCTTCCTGCCTTTGGAAGCAAATCATGGTAGCATACTATATTAATCCTCTTACGTTATTCCGTTTTTAGCGTCGACTTGCGTCGATTAGCGTTTAGGACTCGATGATATGGCGCCGATATAGCGTGGGCTAGCGTCGATGAGCGTCTGTCTAGCGTCGATTAGCGTCGATGTAGCGTCGATTCAAGGCGGCCAGCTGCCTGGCCGGTCGTCCGCACAGTCAAGACGCTGCATTAAGGACCGCTTTGGGTTCGGAAGGGGCTCGCTGCTCATTGGGTCATTCCGTGGTTGTTTCTCTAGCCCTACTCGTGCACCCAGGCGCCTTTGGTATCAAAGAGGGGCTTCGTTCCTTATTCAGCACTCCGTATGGTAGCCGCTTGACATAATGTCCGCAGGGACACTAATATCTAGAACGGCACGCCGAATGGGTGTCGCCGCCTGAACTTGCCCTGACGCGCGTAACCTTAATTTCTCCCTCCTCCTGCTCCTCCTCCTCCTCCTTTTCCTCCTCTGTCCGCGTCTCGTGTGTCGCATTACTCTGTTGTCGCCCTCCTCCATCGTCATCATATTCCCTAGTTGTCCTCCTCCTCCTCCTGCTTCTCCTCCTGTTCCTCCTCCTCATACGCCCCCTCCTCCCCCTCATCCTCCTCCTAAGTACCGGTATTCCTTCTTTTTCGACTTTGTTCGTTCTGTCCCCACTCGTCCCCCTCCATCGGCATCCTCGCCTGATCGTTCGCCTTCCTCCTCCCTCCTTCTCCTTCCGCCCCCTGAGGAGGAGGAGGAGGAGGAGGAGGAGGAGGAGGAGGGGGAGGAGGAGGGGTCATGTTTTCCCTGGGCATCTTGCCATGCCTCCTGCCTCCTTCCTCCGTCCTCCTTCCTCCTTTCCTTCCTTTCCTTCCTTTCCTTCCTCCTTCCTCCTTCCTCCTCCTTCTTCTCTTACTCTCGCATGCCCACTGCAGCAGGCTTCGCGACGCGCCCTGGCCGCGAGTCCCACCACCACCGTCTGGCCCTCCCGGGGGGCCCCGCCAGACCTCCCCCGCCGAACCTGGACAGTCCCGGCTGTCGGTCGACCGGGGGGGGGGGGGTCGCTGAGGATGGCCAGGGAAGGGGGCGGCGGCGCGGGCGAGCAGGCAGGGCAGGCAAGGGGGGCGAAGAGGGGGGGGAGGAAGTGGAGGGGATTGAGAACGCAGGCCCGACTAGCAACGTCGCGCGCCATTTGAACGACCGCTTTGGCCGCGGTGGCCACGCGGCGGGCGCAATGCGCAGCCGCGCGTCAACTCTGACGGCCGAGCCCGTGCCACCCTTGCACCGAACTTTCAGTCGGCGAGAAAACGACGATCTGCTCCTCGCGTGGAAAGAGAAAGTGTGGATTCCTTTTCATTTTGATAGAAAATGCGGGCGACGCAACGGGCGTTTGGGTCGCTTTGAGGGAATTGGGAAGACAGGTTTTCCGCTGGGAGCTTGGGTCGAGCAATTCACGGTTTCGTGATTTTGCCTTGGTCGGGGTCGGGATTCGTGCGCCGAGTTTTGCTTCGAGGGTCTGATGCCTTAGATTCAGGTAAGTTTACTTACATTTAATTTCGCCTCCCCTTTCCTCATTTCCCCTACCGTCTCAAACAGCGCTGAGCTGGAAAGGCGCGCGAAGTCTAGATTTCCTGTTGGGTCCTGCCACGCCCCCACCTCATCCCTCCTCCACGCGAGTGAATTAGCCGGAGCCTGAAGAAGAAACATTGCTCCGTCCTCTTCCGTCACATGCTCGTTTTTGGGGCGAGGGTCATTCCCGCGCGGTTGTGATGCAGATGCCTTTTTCCTAGGCACTTCGGTCGCGTGCCCATTTGCTGTGGGGCTGTTTGGGCGCATGAGGCATGAACCGGGTCTTTCTGGTTAGCAGCGGAAAAAGCTCAGGAGGGGAAAAAACACAGACACAATTTATCGTCGACTACCAGGAAAATATGAGAAAATATGGGAAGTGGGGGGAAAGACAAAAACCCAGAACATATTGGAAAATATGGGGGATATTTTTATTTGTGTGTATTTATTTGTGTGTCCTGAGGCCCCTTCAATAGCGAAAGTGCAAACTGATCGTCGTGAGTTTCGTAGGTATACGCTGCGGGAGCGTTCGTGACACGAGGCTGGCCCCGCGGACCGGGGGCCGTATATTCATGCACGCGGCTGGGCGCCCACGCGTGCGGTGGGTTCCTTAACGGGGTGCGCGGGTAATTGCGGACAAAGGAGCCTCTGAAAGGGCGAAAGGCAGGTGCGCAAGAAAGGATGGACGCAGATAGGGTTGGCGGCCGCCATGCATGGCCCGTTGGTTCAGCTTTCGCAGGCAATTCGGGCAGCCGCTCCAGGCATGACG